CATTGAAAAATTTAGTAAAGGCACCCTTCTTCTCACTGCATCTTGAATTAGTAATTTTTGTTTCAGCTGATGCATTTTGAGTGCTCCATGTTGTGTCTGTTGCTATTCCTGCCAGGGCAAACTTACAGATTCCAAGGCTGTAGCCCCTGGAAGAAGTTCCCAGGGCTGGGCACAGAATCTCCACCACCACCCTGTAGACAAAGTCAAGGAGACCTTGTCCTATATTCCAGAATGTCTACTCTTCTGAACATGGTTGTACCCAAGTATCTAATTCCAAGTCCATTAAAATACTTTTTTAAGTACTTAAATCAGAGGAAAGTGAATGAGGTGGGAAAAACTGCTGTGAAATTGGGTTGTTTTGTGGGGAAAAGGCTTGGAGGGTGCTGAGTCAACAGTGTGGTTTTCCTCTGTCCCATTCTCATTTAGTGCTGTGAATGCCTCAGCAGTTTCAGGAGGTGCACTGACTGTGCAAAAGACCATTTTGTCTGGGACTGTGCTCTTCTCAGCAGGGAGAGGGCCAAAATATGGGGATGAATTTTCTTGGATTTGCAAGGGACAAGGGTTTTAGTATCTGCTACATATATGCAGGGCACAGTGCATGGCTCTGCCAAACAGAAAGGCAGTCTTTCTCATACATGCTATGAGGAGGCTTTCCAATTAATCAGGGGGTTCTTGGTAGGGGAGAAATAAAAAACCTCTAAATTGCAACATCTGCTTGTCTTAGATTTGAGAAAATTGTTAAAAAGTTAAAAACTGTAATGAGCATCTACCATCTCTCTGGACTTCTTCCTTTTCTCTTTCCCTTCCTCAGAGGGGAAAATAAATTAAATTCTTCTAAATTTGGCTCTATGAAAGGAGCTTTTCAACAAGCTGATGGGAAAAAGCAGTTGTAGAATTCTTCTGGCAGCCTACAGTAAATCTGAATTAATTGCCCTCCATCACTTTATTGACTGGAGGTCCAGTCAATATAGTTAGTGAGTCTAGGGCATGAATTATCTTATTCTAAAATGGGCAGGTAATAGAGATCAGGGTAATCATATGTCTGTAAGTACTTTTTTTCTGCATTTAATTAATTACAACGCACCCTCAAAGTCAGATATACGGCAGAAGAACAAGGTTTCCTTGTGAATGACACCAACTTCCCACAAAGACTTTTCATTTTTAAGGTCGATTTCTTCTTTGGGCAGGCAAATCCTGCAGCAACGTGGGAGACAGGTTGAGGAAGCCTCTTGCTGAAACCCTTTCTCTTGTCTTGTGCCAGAGTGTGTTCCCAGGAATAAGCTGCAGGGTGCAGCTGTGATTGGCAACCCTTTGCTTTGTAGCAACCCTTTGCAGTCCCCGCATTTCTCAGGGTTTCCTTCTTCTAGAAGTACTGTAATGAGACTGAAGGTCTGCTTGGAGCCCTCTATAACCTCCTTCTTCTTATAACTGATGGACTCTCAGGTTAAAGTTGCCAAAACTACACACTCAAATTCTTGACTTCAGCAGTGACAGATAATTTTGCTAAAGGAAATAAACGTTTGCCCTCAGAAAACACATCAGACCTCTCTCAGGTTAGTGAAGACTGAACAGTGACAATTCCTACCCTTAAACACTCAGTAACACCCTCATCATGCTCTCTAATAGAGCAAAGCCATTAAGTTGTCCCCATTGTAATTTAGATCACAGAAGAGACTTCCACAGATTCTTTCAGGTTAAAATAACCGGTATACAGAGAGTAGGCAAAATTATTCCACTGTAGCTACGTGCTTAATTATATGGAATACTGCATAAATTGTCAAGTGCAAAGAATTATTCTGATAAATTAAAATACTAATTAAATAGGCTATTGCAGAATTTTGAGAACATTATAGGGCTCCGCTTCTTCAGGTAATTTGCATATCCTTCATCTAGTGAATTTAATTTAAAGGCCTCCCTTTTTGTGTGTTTGGAAGCACTTTTTGTTTCAGTGGAAGATTAAAAAATGGATTTATATGTTGCTAACTGGTTTGGGGGGGATTTTATTGAGATTTTTTCTTTTTTTTTTTTTTGAATAGCTGTTTTTATTATGCCTCTTTGCTGATGAGTTTGTCAGTTCATCATTAGTACTACAGGACTTTAAACTGTGGCCATAAAGAAAATAACTTTGATGGAATGTGCAATATGCAATGTTACCCAGAATTATAATTTCCACTTTCATGAAATTTGCAACAGAAACTTCAACTGCTGTATACTTGTATTTGAATAAAAGATAGCAGGTAGTACACTAAAATACTTATAAAAATTTGGGCCAATTTTCAAAGGATTAGTAGCTTGCTCTTAATATCTGAATATATTATCCCACCACTTTCCCACCAGTCAATCTGTATTGAGGGTGTTTTTATTGTTTCAAATTCTCCGGTATAGTTATGCATAGAAAAGGTTAAGCAGTTATATTCACCGTTCCACAGCTTGAAGCAGCTGTTTGATACGTATTTGCTGCCTCAGCTTCAGCACCATTTTTGACAGAATTTCTTGACCTTCCCAAACAGCTTGTGGAGTTCAAGGTTAGCTAAAATACGCTCCTGTAAACGCTTGGAGTGAACACGCCGGAGACTGTCTGCTGTGTCTCTCTCCACAGCCTGACACTGCCTGAGCTTGACCGTTTTCCGGTTATGGTTTAGTCAATAACACCTCGTGTCTTCATGCCTCCTAATTTTGGCAGGTTATATGTTAGCATGGCTGTCAGACACGTCCTTTGTGTTTCAGCCAATATCAAGGGGGGAAAGCAGGGGTGTTAGGCAAACCCTGTTTGTTGTTGTTGTTTTTTAATATCAAAGCTTCAATAATTAAAGTCTGCAGGAAACCTATAAAAAGGAGGTCAAATATGTAATAGTAATTACTAAATTCAGCGATTCAGCAGACCCAATATTTTCTATTAACTGTTCATGTGGTAAGAAATTACACAGTGGGATTTAAGCCTTTTTGTTTACTTATGCCCATTTATTTTGCAGCCACTCTGCTGTGCAGTTTTCTTTATCCTAAGCTACTAAAGAATCATTTATTGGACCATTCAGTTTCTTTGAAGGAGGCTGTGGAGCTTTCTCATTTTATAAATCTTCTAAATTTTTGTGCTTGGTAGAAATCTGCCTTTAGTGTTTATGCTGGGTGTGAGGCAGTCAGTGGGGTAGCATGGCACCCCTTTGCAATGAAATCTGCAGGCGCATCAGCAGCCATCAGGGAAATAACATCCTCCAGAGCCTTTCTCAAGGCTAAAAATCCAGCTTCTTGCCAAAGATTTGTTTTTGTTTTTGGTTTTTTTTTTTAAATTTGTACTATCCAGCATATACAACACTACAAAACATAGCATCAAATCTCCTGGTTCAGCCAGTTCTCCTCATGTGGTGACTCTGGGTAGAATAAATATGTCTGTGAATGTGTAAAGTATGGCATAGGTGTTAAGGATTTGAGTACTGTATACAGTATTTAGGCTGGAAAACATGCATTTAAGGTTTCTTGGCTTGGGACTTCATGTTCCTCTGTGCTTATCCAGGAGCATATTTAAGAGAAGCAAAAATAAACATGTGTGGGTCTAAAAGGTGTACAGTACTTTCCTCTTCATTTAAGTCAAGGGCAATATTCCTCCCTTGCTGAAGGCAGTCAGAAAGGTTTCTCTGTATTAGAATTGCTTGAGGTTTAACTTTCTGAGTCTTTGCACATACAAACTCTTACCAAAATCTTTCCCTAAGAGGTGAGATGGAGCAATCTGAGCTGTTTTGAATATTTCAAATGGAAACAATGAGAGAGTATTTTTCACAAATGAAAGAAAAATATGTTAATTCCTTTAAGTATATTTATGTAAATTTACAGTGCACGATGTGTTCTAGCACACTTCTTGAACTTTCTGGTAGGAAGGTTTTCTTTAGGCAACTTTAATTGAGAAGCTGAATCTATCCAAATTTTGTCTATAATCAAAGGAAAGGGGTAGGTGCCTGCAGATGTGTGTAAAATATGTGGGATGACTCATCGTATTAAAAGTCCATCCCTTTCCAAGGGCTGCAGAGAGAACCTGGATGACTCACTTGGATTACACAGTCAATGACTAGGCAGCTAAAGGAAGGAGAGGTTAACAAGGCTGCAAGGCTCCATTTCTACTCACAAATAAGTCAACCCAGGTGCCTGGGTTTTGGCCATGAGTCCAGCTGACTAGAAGGTTAAAGTCTTCCCATCCAAAATGGGATGACATTACCCATACACCGCTAGGAATAATTTCATCTCTCTACTGTTCCCAAAACTGTGGTTGGGAACATTGTTTTGTGAGGCTACTAATGGGCAAAGGCAGAAATCATGTGAAGACCATACATTTAAAAGTGTTGGCAGTTGTACAACAGTGCTCAAGTTCATGCCCTGGGCATGTTTAGCTTATAAGTCTAGTTGTAGTCATAGTGATTGCTACCTTTATTTACTTGGTTTGTGCTGGATTACTTTATTTTGGTTTTTAATGCTTTTATGATATAGAAGCTGATAAATATAAAAAAAATAATTAAAAAAAAAAAAAGAAAGAAAAAAAATAGACAAAATTGTCCATTTCATCCTGGTGTTGTGAAATAAACTCTTTATTTTACCTGCTAGATAAGAGTCTGTATTTGTGGTGAAATTTCCTACACAGTGACAGTTCTGTTGTAATGGTGAAGGTTCTGCCCTGCTCTTCAATGCAAGGGAGACAGTGGGAAGTTTACACCAAAGAGAGTTCTCCCAGCATACTGTGTATATGTGTCAAATGTGTGTGATACTGTGTTTACAAGGGACATAGAATTATCTTGGCTTTCTTTTTCATCTAATAATGAACAATGAATAGCATAAATATGCATTCAAAATACTGACTAGCAGAGCTGCTCTCAGGGAAAGATATTCTATAGATGGCAGAGGTAGGAACTGTCATCAATATACTGGAGGAAAGAAGGTTGGTGGCAAATGCTGTAAAATCATACATATTCCAGATTTCCTGTAACTCTTTCAATCCTAATTTTTCCTCACAGCCATAAACAAAGAGAAGCTTGAGAAAACAACTGGACTGAAAATTCTGCAGACTGGTGTGGGGGAGGTAAGTGGCTTCCAGGCATTTTACATTCTCAAAAACATTTTAATTGTTGGGGTTTTTTAAGAAATCCTGGAGCTCATGACCGTTTGTGAGCTACCAGTCTGATACTGCTAAGGGCCTTTTATGATACAGTTGCATCTGTCAAAATACAATCTGCTGCACAAATAGCACTATATCCCACAGAGAAAAAAAATACCATCCTTATGAGAAAAGTGCAGCCAGCTTGAAGAAATGCAGTTTTTGGCTTTGTTGTATCACAGGAACAAAATCCCCAAAGATGAGCACAGTGACTGAAGTCCTCGTATTATTCCCCTTGGTTTTGATGGAGTGCTATCTCATGCAGATCAATGAAAGTTTAAATTTGGGGTAAAGAGTCTTCAGATATTTGAGAGAATCTGACAGTGAATGTCTCGCTTATTTTGGATGTAACTTGAAACATAAATAAAACATGCGTCTGTTATTATAGTGATATCACTAAGCAAAAACTCCACTAAGCAGTTCATCATTTATTAATAAACATGATGCTATCTGCTAAGAACCTTGTATGAACTACAGTTGATTGCTAATTCTCGTGCTAATTTTGTGTACACATTTATCTTTTTTTTTCCTTTTCATTTAAGTAATTTTGCTGGTGGTGAATGTTCACAGGGCTAGGCAAATGGCTTTTTCTTGTGATTACATTATTCTCAGTATTAAAAATAATGAATTACTAACTTCTCATATACTGAAGGAATATATATATTTCTTTTTTACTGATTTTTGAGGTTTGTATTTCTAATTTTTATCAGTCCATAACTAAGAAGCTTAACTTGACAATATTTCTGAGGTTTACTGTGCAACTCCATTCACATTACTAAAAGACTTCGTTCTGAAGAGGTAATAACCCTGAGACCTGCTGTGATGCTCAGGGCCAAAGCTGTAAGAATTAGAACTTGAAAACAAAGATAGGTGAAATCATCAGAAAATGAAAGCCATCATCTCTACTAAGCTGATTTAACCAGGTATGTTTCTTAAGGGTGCATAACCTGAGGAACTGGGAATTGTACCCTGGAGCATGGCTGTGCACTTTAGGCTGTATCCTAACTTCAAGCCAGACTAAAGTTTGTGTTTTTGTCATCTACAACACCTGTTTTTTTTTAAATAACAGGAGAATCAGGACTGTGGCACAGGCTATGGAAGCCTGATTCAGTAAAGTTTTAACCAATGGGGTTCCTCATGCTAATGAAATACCTCCATGAATTTTGTCCAATTCCAGTCATTGAATGGATATCAGCTGGCTTCAAAGTCTGCTGGAAAATAAAAGCCCACATCACTTCAGAGCCTTAGTGTTAAGTCAGCTGTTATATGTGGTCAATGGAGAAAGAATGCACTTTTGGATATTTGAAATGCAGCAAGTTGTCACTGGTTAAATGTGTAATTAATCCACATTGTAGTAATAGGGTTGTTGTAACCATGGTAGTCTAAGGATGTACTGGAACTATAACCTCAAGGACTTCCTGGTTTTTAAGACCAGCTAATGGAATTGGAAAAATTGAAGAGTTCTTAGGCTAGAAATCTCATCGATCTGGTTCTTGTGTTTGTTTTAGTAAAAGTCACTGTAGAACTCACTTTCCCTGTATCTAGGCTATAATAACTTTAAAAAAACCTAGTGATAGTACTTGGATTAATAAAGATTTTTATAGAAATCTGTGCTTTACACTCTGCCAAATATGTATTTTTAGAAGGCAAAAACTGAAAGCAGACATTTTGGCCTAAATATATTCCAAGTTATATCTGAGAGAAGGTGATCATCAGAGAGAGAACCAAGCGGTTTGGAACAGTAAACTGATGAGAGAACATTTATTCAGCTGCTTATATATATTTTTTGGGTGTGAATTCTCCCAGCTGTGTACATTCCCCTTTCTAAGTCTTGTCAGATATGATTGTGTGCATATTGAATGCATTTCTGTGGTCTCACCTACATAAAAAATAAAGGAGTGCTGTAACCAAGCTGTTCCTCTGTTGATAGAGTATCAGATTCAGGGTGTTTCAGGTTAAATCTAACTGTGGTCATCCAGTTTTGCAGTTTGTTTTTTATTCACCCTGATGAATAATTATTAATGAAATAATGGAAAGTACATATTTAAACATACTGAAGGAGCCTTTTGTTGATTTCCTTCACACTGTAGGAATGGAATTACATTTAATGGTAATGGTAAATCACAATCAAGATGTTCAAATCAAAAGTACTTAGAAAAATTTTAGTTTGAGAATGAGAAATGGTCTTTTTGTTTGGACAGTAGGTGAGATGCATGACAAAGTTAATGGATATATAATCTTCACTTTCAGGCCTGTAAAATAAAAGGAATTGATTTTGCAAGGCAAGTTTCATATCTGAAATACCTCAGGAGAAATATAGCTGAGATGGTAGTGGCAAATGGAGCTGCTGTATAAACAAATGCAGGAATTCTTCTAAGCTCAGCAATAATTCATGTGTGGCTCTGGAGAGTGGAATCTGTTTTAGGTGTTGATCTATGATAACAGGATTTGTGCCTCAGTAAGGAATGTGTGGACAGCAGTGACTACCCAGACCTTGAGTGTGTTAGAAGGAAATGGTCTCTTTCTCTGTGTAGATGAGAAATGCTTCTCAGAGCTCCTCAATCTCCCGCTTTCTCTCTCTATCTCCGGAAAAACATTTCAAAAGCAATAACAAATTATAAAATTCACACCAAGCTTACTGAGCCATTCAGTCAAGTCCAGGGAGGGCTAATGAATTGCTTTTATGTCACTGCATAAACATGTGCTGTGTAGTCATTAACAACATGGGTCTGGAGTCTACCACAGCTACAGTGCTGTTCATCATCTTTATGTCATGTAAAAGATTTCCACAGCTTCAGTGATTTTTTTGGCTAGACTTGAGCTTAGCTGCATTGTGTCAACATAGGGTAGGCTCTGCTCTAGCAGAATTAAAAATGTGTTCCTAAGCTGCAACTTCAGAAGCTGCTCATATTTCAGGATGTTGAACTTAAAGGTTCCATACATTTCATGGGAAGGTTTGGATGACAAAGTGCAAAGCACTACCTGGACTGTGGACAAACAGAGCTTCTTTCAGGCCATTATGGAACAGACCTTCACCGGTACTTCCACAGCACATCCACGTCAACATCAAACATTTGCAGTAGAACGTTCAAGAGTACAGAGATCCAAAGAGTTAGATTGGTTTTTGATATGCTGTATATCTCTCTTAAAGTGCAAATTATTTTGGCACTTATCTTTTTTGTAAGAAGGCTGTTATGCCAGAAAACCAGAATAAATCTGCCAGAGAGAAAACCAGTACTGATATTGAAGTCCTGAGGATCTGTGCATTGCTCTAGTACTGACTATCTCTGGAATTAAATTTGCCAAGATGTTTATTTTCTATTTGAAGTTTTCAAGTACCTTTAGCAGATGCTGAAAAAAAAAAACAACAAACAAACAAAAAAAACCCCACACCAAAACAAACTAAAAGATCTCTAGAACTCCTCTGCAGTAACCCTCCAAGATTTGAGTCATTATCATGCATGTTTGTGCCACACAAATTCATCATAAGCATTTCACACCTTCTTGTTTATTCAGGTACAATGAAGCTTTGAGGTATTTACTTTTGATCTCCTACACATGAAATAAATCTCTGAAGTCCTGAGGTAATTTTTAGTTAAGTTCAAGAACTTCTCAAAGTTGAGTGTCTATGGGGTATGAATGTATATGTTATTTATGTGTATATTTGCATAATACCATGAAACATACAGTACTGGTAAAAAACCTGAAAAGCTAAACAGCATTTAAGCAGGACTCATATCTCCATCCTCCCCTATCTCAGCTTGATCTGAACCACTGTGTTTTGCAGAAATAAGAGTTGAACTTGTTGCTCTGCTAGGCTGAGCACTCCTGCAAGATCTTGGGAAGAGCATTTGGTCCCTCACGAAGGGAAAGCCTCCTTAGCAGCAGCATAGTTCCACCTGACTCCTACTGAGTTCAGGATTCAGCAGCATCAGAAGCCCTGTTCTCATGCAAACATCAGTCCAGCAGTTGCTCACGAGCCACAGCCCTGCACAGGGGTCACTGAGGAACATCATGTTCCTTCAACATGCTTTAGGAACTTAAGTACTTCTCTCCCTTGACATAAACACTTTTGAATTATTATAGGAGCACAGTATTTTTCTGTTCAGCTCCACGCTGAGCTTGGCTCTGTCCAGAGTTACTACGACATGGATAAATAACTGTTTATCCAGCTTTTGGCTGAAATTTGTTTTCAGCCACAGTTTCAGAATAACAGGTCAGGCTCTCCAGTGGCTCAAGAAAGTGTGAAGATTCAAAACAGGTTTTGGAGGGTAGGAGCCTATGATTTGAATAATCAAAGATCTGAATCAGGCCTTAAACAAACTGAGGGAATGACATTGTTTCTGTCTTGAACTGGTAAAACAGCACCCACTTTGGAATACGTTCTATTAAATTAACTCTTTCAATTTCCCTTTAGGGCTGCACAGAAGAGACTCATCACTGGAGTCATAACATTGTAGGATTTGAATCATGGCTCTCATATGGCAGACATATGAATTAGAACAGTTTTCTGAACTAAATGGAAATAACCCAAAATATATGTGAAATGAACACTTTACCATACCTCTAGATGTTCTAAAATAGAGCAGTGATATTTTGACATGTTTCAGGATATTCTCATGTATAGATATTTTGATAGGTGTAGAATTATGTTGATGTTTCGTAATGTGATGTTACTGCAATAAAGAAACCCTCATTTAAAAATTCTAGTAAAGCTAGAGGACATGATAAAGCAGACTTTCCCATGATGTGCAAGCCTCTGAGGCAGAAGTCAGATTTCTAGCTTATTACCTTCCTCAGTGTTGCCAATTTTTGTCACTCATGTTCGCATGTGGAGATTTTTACCTAGAATGATATTGGAAATCCATTAAAAACAATGGAGTGCAGAACTTGATGAGTCATTTTCATTTGCTGAAGATTAAGGT